ACTTATGCAGGAGGAAGTTATTCAAAATTATGGAATGTGCAGAGATGAGTTAAATTGAGATTTGAAATTAGAGTAATGGTTGATTTCAATATAACTTCCCCCTCCAGCTTCATATGGCAGCTAAGAGACTGAATATATAACAGAATGTAGCAACCTAGGGATTTGTGTGTCTTCATGTTTTGTATCTCTAATGGCCAATCCAGAAATGACATGATAAATGTATAATCAGATCTCCCAATGTCTAAAAGGAGGTAGCATGACTGTGAAGCATAGTTTGGATCAGGGCCAGTTTGAGAAACTTACTCATTTTTCATGTGCCAGTCCCCAAATGTCAAATACACACTGAAGCTACTTTTCAGGGGAATACACAGATTCTAAGACAATGAACCCTGGAAAAAAGTCAGCCCTCTTCCTCCATGCCTCCATTCAATTGCACAACTAATTTTAGAAACATAAAGGAGATCCAACCTAGACATCTCCTGTCTCACTTAGTTTGGCTCCTCATTTAAAATATGGTGTTTGTTGGGGAAGAAGAGATACTGCAGATAAACTAGGGGAGGGTAATCCATGGATCATATATAACCCCCTGCCCCCATCCCATCTGCAGTCTCAAGTGTCCTCAGTGGGGACAAAATATTGGATCAACTCACTTTTGTGGAGGTTGGAAGAATATAAAGGAAAAATGGGTGCCTGAACCTCACAGAGGTTTAAAGCACCTGTTTTGCTGTCTAAATAACCCCAAACTTGGGCTTTTTTTCCCCATTTGGTGGGGGATGCTAAGGGACAAAAAGTTTAAAGAACCAATTTGACCCCTTAAAAACTCTCACCTCCCTAAACTACAAAACAGGTAAAATTTTGGCCATACCCATTTTAATGGTTGTATCAAACATGTCCCTGCTACCCTAAGAGGCAAAAAATATTCTCTTCAAAAGTACAGTATACTGAAGCAAGTAATAGACTGGTAGACAAATAGACAGATACAAAATAATGGAGACTTCAATTGGAGCTGGAATTATGTTGTTAGTTAGGAAAGAGATTAATGCAGTTGCAACACAAGTATATATTGATTCTCATGGGCATTTTTTTATTGTTAAACTTCTTTTCTTCAAGCAACTTATCTCTCTCTTTTTGAGGATCTCAACTATTCCATCCAACCACAACTTTATTGGTTTTCCAATTCCTTTGAACTCATTCTCTCCTCTGTATATTTATTTTGCAACTCAATCCTCATTCATTCTCTCTATGAATGACGATTGATATGCCTAGACCACTTTAATGTATTTCTTTTGTACTGGTCACTCACTCACACACACAGTAGATACTCTCTTTCACTCTGTATCTATTGTTCCTTGAGTTTATCACACCCACTATTCTCTTCTTGTTTTATTGTGCACACTTGTGAAGTACCCCACAGTCACTGCATTCATCTTACTGTTGTGTTTTTCCTAACATCCTTAACTCTGATTTTCACATAAAAAGTGGACAGAAACAGGTTCTTATATACAGCCTTTCCCGCTCCTTCTGATAAACATTCATTCCTTACAAAAGTACACTGTCTTTCTACCAGCATTTAGTAAACATTCTGCTAAGGTGCACGAATTGATCCATGTACAGGTGATCCTTGGGTTACGTCCATTCGTTCAGCGACCATTCAAAGTTATGATGGCACTGAACAAGGGGGACTTACAGCCAGTCCTTAGAGTTCTGGCCATCACAGCATCCCTACAGTCACATGATTGCAAGCCGGGTGCCGATTTCCAGTGTTCCCTGCCAGCTTCCCACAAGCAAAGTCAATGGGGAAACCAGCAGGAAGTCAGAAGTCACGGTCATGTGAGGTCCTTGCTTAATGATGGCAACCAGAGCTGCTGGAACTGCCACGGCTAAGACATAGTCACATGACATCGCACTTTACAACCGCATCGTTTAGTGACAGCAATTCTGGTACCAATTGCCATTGTAAGCTGAGGAGTACCTATACTCTATTTTTTGCCTTTTATAATTGTTATAATTGTTCCTTTTCCTGTCAAACTCAACTTACTACGGTCTGATACATTAATTTTCAGATCCATATTCCTTGTTGCATCATACCATCAGTCTAACATTTGGCTAACAACATGGGATTATTTGCATTCAATATTTACATTCATGTTCCTGACAAACACATATCTAATATTGTAATTGTTCCTTAACATTTATACATAAATACATTTAACTACTGGAGGAACATCACACATACTTGTCTTACTTTCTGCTCAGTGTTGAACCATTCCCTAGGCTTTCTATTCATTTTCCACATGATTTAATTTTATAATGTACCACTCTTACCTTTCAGCAACCAACTTCAAGTCTATATTCACACAAAACATTCTGTAATTCAAACCTATTCTCTTTATCTCATGTTTTCTATAAACCAACAAACGTACAATAAACTTTCTTTTAATAGAAGAGAATATACGTACCTCAGGTACTGTGGAGTCCTTGGTGCTCCCTGAGCTTGGTTGTAACAACCAAGCTCAGGGAGCACCAAGGACTCCAAACTTTCTTTCTCACAGTCATCCATCTCTCAGTGACCTCAATTGCTATTTTTGTTTTTTTAGATAAAAAAATCCAGCTGCGTTGATGCAATAGTGAATTATGCTACTTAAGCTGTCACCCTGTCACAAAAGAAAGGCAGGCTTTTCAATTAAAAATACCGTTTTGTAAATCTCTTGTAGCTCCATGACATATAGTTATCTGCAGAAGCCTTGTAAAAGGATGTAATGGTAACTTTAAGTCTTACAGGACAGCATGTTTATTTAGCCCTAGTTTCCCACCACAGTATCAGTGGGAACTATTCCACAAGGCTACAGTCCCTATATATCACTACAAAATAAGATGTACTAGTGACCTAGTAATCTTAAAGCCTCCTAGATTATTTCCTTTGATAAGAGAGTACATTTATTTAAGACTGGCTCCTTGTTAAATATTTGGATTTGCATTGATTAATGGTTGTTGCTTTTTCTTCTAGTGGAGTAAAGCTGTTGAACTAGCTAAGGAACACAACATGAAAGAGATTGGTTCTCTTCTAGCTAGATATGCATCTCAGTTGTTGGAAAAGAATAAACCCCTTGATGCTGTTGAACTATATCGTAAAGCCAATTATTTCTTTGATGCTGCAAAACTCATGTTCAAGGTACTGTTATTATGGGATATCTGAAAAAAAAAGAGAGATTGGGTGGGAGGTAAAAGCAGTGATGTTCCATCAGTATCTACCACTGGAATAGATTCTTCTCCTTCTGCAGAAGATTTGGGGCATATTTTGGTGGATACAAAAGTCCACTGGTATAATACTGGGCGTAGCTTAATGCTAACTATTTAAGAAGTTGATCACTTTTATCCATGCTACATCTTTCATTTTGCCCATTGATGCTTCTATTTCTGGGAATAAATATACACTTTTCTCTTAGTGTACTATGTATTTTATCTACTGAAGCCTTTATATGCATAGAGGAGTTTTGGAGCACATAATTAGCATTTATCTGTTCGTTCAGCAGTAGCTGTATTGTACTGACCTAGAAGCTGCTTCTACAGCTTGTTTTTCTCTACATTCTTCTGAAACTCAAGGCCACAAGCATGAAGACTAACCACGTGTATGGTTTTTGACACATAGTTCTCTGGATGGAAGCTTATGAAGATAACATTGTATACTTGTGATATTAAAATTGATTAAATTTACCTTTCACATGCAAATTAGCATTTTGTTCCAACTACAATAAAAACTGTACATATGTCCTCCCTCCCTCCAAAGGGATCCATATTATGCCTATTTTTTTCATTCTGCAACAGTGTTTGTTATGGGTTATATTCAACTTAATAAGAACGCAAAAAAGACTTATATTAAGAAATCCTTTGTTTCCAGGCATGGGAGAAAATCCCCCCACTCCTCAAGAAAGCAGTGTGGAGTGTTGTCAGTCTTTCACAAATGTCTAAGTAGGATACAAATCTGTATATTGTTCAAAATGCTTTTATAATCTTATTTTTGTATATGGCATTGTAATTAAAAAATAAATCTAATTCATAATGCTTATCTTCTAAAGATTGCAGATGAAGAGGCTAAAAAGAGAACCAAGCCTTTACGGGTTAAAAAGCTATATGTTATGTCGGCTTTGCTTGTTGAACAATATCATGAACAAATGAAAAATGCACAGAGAGGAAAAGTCAAAGGAAAGACTTCTGAGGTAAAGTTTTGAAAGGTTTGATCACCTACTAGTGTGACTGCAAGGAATACCTATCAGGATGGAGTTGTGAAGTATTTCAATGATAGGACAACTCATATTTCCTATCAATATTATCCAAAAATATTTAGAACACCCTGTTGAAAATGGTTTTACAAATGTATCCAGTCAAAGTCATATGTCAAAATAGGATAGATTCCTCACCATGAGCATGTATGAGGGGAGATGTCAATATCTGCAAGGTGGTGGATGCAGCATTGTGGGCCAGGCCCTGCCCCTCTTTTGCATGCTTGTGACAGTTGATGCACATGCAAAACACTCGCTCCACACTCACCATCCTGTAGAAGCCACTGCTGCTACTCTCACAGTTTTCCTTTGTTTACATCTCCCACCGGGGGGGGGGGGGGGG